TCAATACATTCTTCTTCACCTTTTGTGCTGCAGTCTGTCTGCCCTGGGTATGTTGATTCAGGCAGCTTGATTGCTCCTGCAGTATCCTGGCCCTGGCCTGTCTCTTTATTTTTTAAGTAGCACTCAGTGTCTGACCACAATTTGCTTCCTCATAGGAAAGATTTTTCTGTTTTCCTGATCTCGACTGCTTCTGTTTTCTTCCTCATTACCTCTCTCCTTTCATCCTCCTTCCTGTTTGTCCTGCTCTTTTCCCTTATATTTTTGCCTTGTACCTGTTTGATCATGTGTGTTCCTCTCATGCCACCTTCCTGTTCCAGGTGGTGCGTATTCCTGCCACGATGATTTAACCAGATGCAGTGACACTTGCAGAAGTGGGGGTCACTGCTCTCTCAAATCAAAGACTGAGCTATTTATCATCCTCTCATTAGACAGGACCGAATGGGATGTGGCTTGGCAGTTGGGCTCCAGGGAAGAATATTCTTTTATTGTGAAGTAGACCCTGTGACATGAACCACTGGTGGTGCTTTAATATTGTTTTGCAAAACTGGAAAGAAGAGCCAGGAAAGCAGATGCTTCAGTTTTCTCAAGCCCTCTATTTATCAGTTTCCCTTTTGTTTGGGTCTCTCTGGTGTTTATGGGATTTTTCCTGCCATTTATAGATGGGCAGATACTTTGGCAAGGATGTATGTAGTCTGGATGCAGTTGGGGGGAATTGCTTTCCTCCAACATATTAATTGCTGTCGCACATCTGGCTGTCTTCCCTTGTTAATTTGCAGAACGTGGCCTTAGCCTGTGTAGCAGTTGTGTACAAATTGCATTGCTGGCTCCTCTAGGTTTTCTTTGTGAAATATCTCTGACATCTTTCCCTGTATGTTTGCACAGTTCTCATCACATCCACATTATCTTGTTTGTTGGTGCAGTGGCTTTTGATGCATATGGCCCTGGCATCATGCCCCCTTGCCATCTTCTTTGAAATCGCTGCGTGACCCCTGCAGTTCCTATTTTCACTGTTGGTGCACTATGGCTGGCCCTCTGATCTTTTCCAGAGTCTGTTGTACAGAATTATATTTCTAGCTTTCTGTTTGCTCTCTCTGGTAGATTTTGCAGCATGCGGGGTGGAAGAGGTTACAGAAAAGATAGGCTGGAGGCAAGGGGTGTTAGTTTTATCCATCACTGGAAGAGAGCTGACAGCTGCTTTTGTCATGTTTTGAGATTATTAAAATGTATCTTATAGCTTCTGTATTCTTTGTCCGTCTTCATTGTTCTCAGCCTTTCAAAGAATATTCTGGAAAATGAAATATCATTTAAGATTACATGAAAGTGGATTGCAGAGCGGAAGAGCAGAGTATGAAGAGAGCTTCTCACCAGCTCGGGACATGAGATACCGGCACTTCGTTCAGTGGGCTGAGGGACGAGGCTCGTTAATTCTGATAAACAGAAGCGACTTTTCCACTTTGAGACCATGAAAGCTTGCTTTGAACTTGCAGAGATTTTTGAAAATGCCAAGGTGCTCGAGGTTCAACTGAACCATGGACCTTTGGGTTTAATATTTTATGAGTTTTTAAAAATTGTTTGGTTTGAGGTGAGTGATTGGCATTAAAAAGCCAGCGTTGTCATCGGCATAGAAAATAATGTCTGGGATAATAACATAATACAACTTGCTGCTTTGAACCTGATTTTGAATCTGCTTTTTGTCACTAAGGAAAGTAACTTTAATATTGGCCAGCTAGTTCATACCGTAATACCTGGAAAAGTTACGTGTCTGGTCTTAATGATGAGGAAAGGACTTCAATCATCTTTGTTTTGGCAAGTCTAAAAATGTGGTGTGTTGGAAAAATTGTTAGAAGCTTGAATGGAAGATTTCCTACTGGTCAGCAGCCCATTGTAATTTAAAGCTTAATCTTCAGAAGTGGAACTGGGTTACTTACTGCCCGTTGAACAATCGTTCTGATGACGCTTACATTTTGGCAGCAATAACTGATCCCTGCATTTCATCTGAGGTTGGAAAATGTAAGCATTATTGAATGCAAGAAGATATAGATAACCCACACACTTGTCCTTTTGCTTTCCTCCCTTTCCTCTTAGTTGTGTCCAGCTCTGCGGTTCAGAAAGAAGGTGCGCCGTCTCTAAGGAATACGCGTCACAAAGACTTTTTGTGACTCTTGAGTAGATTCTACCAAGTTTCCTTTTTTTCAGTCCGAATATCAGGTCAAATCCGATCAGTCAACCCACTCAGGACTTATAAGACTAGGTCAAACTTAGAGGGATTAAAAAAAAATACGCTACCAAAATTTTCTGCAGCAGTCAGATGTGAGATCGGTTCTTTGAATGTTTGATCCTATAGTTTTCCTCTCGTCTGACTTGACTCAGGGCTGGAGCTCTTTGATAGAGTATAGAACTCAGGTCTGGAAGAGCTGTTTATTAATTAAACTAACCAATAACGCAGAGAGAGAGGATTTTTATATCCTAACATCATTTATTGTACGGTGTTTGGTGAAGGTTTGCATTGATATTTAATTTGGGCTGTAACTAATTAACTTGAGCAATCCTTTGATTTTCTTTTTTGAATTTTGCTATGGTCATGAAATAACATTTGGAGCATTAGCACTTTTGAGACTGGTAGTTTGAAAATTGTGCATACGCACACTTTACCAAGGATCTGATTAATGTTGTGTGTCACAGGTAGTTTGTTGTGCTTGTTCTTCCTGGGTTTCCCACTGTTTCCTTGTGACATGTTCTTGGGTTGTTCTCAGTTTTTCATACAGGATCCTTGTCCCTTTTTCACTGTGGAATGACTGGTGTCTGTTGGTTGAGTTTTCTGGACGTTGGCTGCTATGGAAACACCTTTTTGATATAGTTTCTCTCTGAATGCTTGCAGAGCGCTGTCCTGTAATGGTGGATTTATCCGAAAAATGAGCACGGTGAAAGCTAGATTCTCTGTCTACTATGACTGGGGAATTGTAGTGTTGCTGACTTGGGCAAACGCTGTTCTATTAAGAGCTTCGGCAACTTAATTCGGGATGTTTAGCCTGAGGTTTTATCTCCGCTTCCCTGTGGCTGCCGCAGAACTTCTCATGGCAGGCAGCAGTCATCACCTCCCGGCTGGCAGAGCACACGCACGTCCGCATGTTTCTGGTGGCTCTCTGCGACTCAACTCAATAGTTGCACTGCTGCAAGTCAAGGGGCATCTGGGGAAGGCTGGAAGGAGCATGGTGGCCAGCAGAAGATGCTGGCCTGTGCATTGGCACCTTGTGCTGGATGGTGGTGGAGCTCTACTTCACTCTGCAGAGGTGATTTGATCTCTGCCAGCAGAAAAGGGGGCTCCTGTGCCACCGAGGGGCTTTGGCTGAGCACATGCTGGAACAAAACTTAATGGACTAGACAAGGCCTGAGGTTCGGATGGAGAAAGAATTGCTCCGTCAGTGAGAGGCAGACACTACTTCACATTCCATCACCATAGATACTGCTGCTGGGCACAGGCTTCTTTTTGTGTAACTAATTAATTAAAACAGAATCAGGGAAATAGTGGTGCTCTGGTAATTAAATTATCCATTTTTAAATGCAGATTTAAAGCCCTTTTGATGAACTTTCCCACCTGAATACAACAATGAAGAGTCTATTTCACAGTCCTTGATTATTAAATTGGTCTGTGAATGGTTCCAAATTGAACTGGAACTTTAAATAGTCTTTTAATTCATCTAATGCCTTAAAATGCATATTCGTCTTCAGAGGGAAGGAGTGCAGGTATGGAAACTGCTGCTTGGGGAGTTCTGGTCAATTCCTACATAAATTTTCCAAGTAGCACAAATTGGTGAACCAGCAGTACAGGATGTACTTAATTTAGACTAAGAGCATCTTTAAAGAAAAGTGCCATTTTCCTGACGCATCTAAGCAGCATGTGAATAATGGCACTATTTCATTTAAAGGTGTTTTATTTACTCTATTTTCTTTTGATTTATGATGATATAAACACCCCTTTGAGGCTCTGGCAGATCTTCTTAGGTTGTTCTGTTTTCCTCTCTGCTGGAGAGGCAGAGCTTTGATGCGTCTGCCTGACAGCGCCATTGGTTTTGATGCATTTAAGTCTGCTTGAAGACTTGTTGGTGCACTCCCAGTCCCCCTTTCAGGGCCTATTAACATGGTAGGTACAAGTGGTTTTGTCCCCTGCGTGTGATACTGTCATCTGCCTCACCTCCTGCAGATGCTATGGAGGTGCTCTGGTGCTGCAGTTTTTTCCATGAATCAGTTGTGTTTGTTGCCTGTACTGCATAACTGTGTACCGGTGCTTCCTGGATAGAGTGGTTCAGCTATCCTGAGTGTCCCAGCAAGTGGCAAGAGTACCCACGGGGCACGCACCCAGAACGACTCCAAGAATATGTAGAGTATTGCACTCAAGAGTTTCTTCGCTGAAGGCTGGGAGGAAATGGGAGAATTGGCTGCTGGGAGCTGGCCATAGTCTTGTCCATGTTGCATCCTGTGTGTTGTTACCCAGCCACAGGAAGATAGCGCTATGCTCAGCCTAGGTTGTTGTCAAGTGCAACACATGGGTAGTTATCACAGATACTTACCAAATAGCTGTCTTTAGATGCAAACCATGCACAGTGGCAACTGTGACTCCAAGTGGTTACAAAGGAAAAGGGTAGAGTGAAACCCCGAGACTTGCGTTGTTGCTGGAACTTACGTATGTATTTAACAAGTTTAGTTTAATGTGCACCTGAGAGGAGATTTGTTGATTGTAAAGGATTGCTGTTTTTATATCTTGTACGTGCATAGTATAAATAAAGAGGTGGTGCTAAGCTCCAGGATTGGTCATTGAGCGTCTCTCTTTTTTTAATAATGTCCTTCCAAGTAAGGCTGATGACGGCAATGCAGTTTACAGCTGCACATGGGCATAGGTGGGATGATACCCTAGGTCCCATTACTGTTGCCCCATCCTCCTGGTTTTGCTGAGGCAGTGTTAAACCTCACAAGTTCAGTCTTTCTTTCTCTCTCTTTCTTAGTGCCAGGATATTAGAGAAGGCTCGACAGCAGCTACAAGAGGAGGTATTACGAATCCAGAACCAGTTACTGGATGAGAAGAAGAAACGTGAGCAGCACGAAGCTCTGGTCAGACGTTTGCAGAAACGAGTGCTGCTCCTCACCAAGGTACAGCTTCTAGACCTAGCTTATATGCCCTTCTCTTTGACCTACATGCTCTTCCTGGATGCCCTTTGGTTCTTGGTTGCTCTGTTCTCGAGTTGATACCGAAGTACTGCCACGTGTTCTCCATGTTTTAGATACTAGAACAATGCCATGAGTTTTGTCTTCGGGGAATAACTGTACTGGCTTCATTACTGGCATGCTGCCAGTTGTTGATATCTAGATGATACGTCACTTAATCTCATTCTTGGCATCTGCAAGTCGCATTATCGTTGGCGTACTTCTGTCACCTGAGCCACTGAATGGACTTTATCATGATTCTGATGGCGACCGCTCCCACTTTCCTTAATAGAAGAAAATGGCTGCGCTACATGGAGGACAAGGAAGGCACTTTACTCTTATGCTGAACCAAGTCCTTTAGAATACAGTAGAAGGAGTTGAAGCAGTTGAGTTTTACAAAAGTTAGTTTTAGTATGGTGCTTCCTTTGAACCCGCCTACAAAAATCTTTAGCAGCATGTAATTTTGATTAAATTTGGTAGGATGAGTCAAAAAGCCTATAGAATATTGATAATTTTATATTAAATTCTGTAACTCTCTTCTGTAAAGGAAGATTATTATTTATTACTTCTCTGTTGCCACAGAGGTGTGCACTGCACCTCCCCAAACCACCCATGCATAACATCACTCATCTGAGCAATTCCTTTGAAGCCAGTAGGTTTTCTCACATGAGTAAGCTTACGTCTGTGCTTGTTTGAAGGTTTGTGATTGCTGGGGGAAGCAAGAAAGTAGGGAGAAGAGAGGTGGGTAATAAGATGCTGTTATGTCAGCTGAAGGAGGTCAAACCCAGCAAGAAGTCACGAGGGAGTTTTGGTCTACAAATGTCCTGTTTAGGCCGAAGGTTGAAATTTCTGACATGGGAGGAATGTGGTCCATTAGAAAGGGAGAAGAAGCAAGCTGCTGCTGTTTCGGGCTTTAATTCTGAGTGTTAACTACAGCCTCTTGATTGTGCTTTAATTGTTCTCTGCCCAGTTCTGTAATTCTGTGTCACTGCTGAGCCAAAGAGGCTGTGATGTATGGTATGCTAAGCAAGGCTTGCTGGAGTGTGAAGCAGCTGTTTTGCAAGAGGGTATTATTTAAAATCTTTCTGGCCACAGTATTTGATGCCATGGAGAGTCCTCTAAGTGGGAAGAAGAAAGAGCTTCTGTCACTTTTCTTGACGTGTCAGGGAAGGCGTTGCATTTTGAGTGCCTGGCAAAACCTTTGCACTGCAACTAGGAAAGGAAACCTCTGCTCCCTTGGGTTCACCAGAACTACAAACTGCCTACCAGGGCTTTTCCAGCCCTCCATATGTTTCTGGTTTTGTTGTCCGTCTGTCATGATACAGCTGTGGGTGTAGGCCGATCTGGGAAATTCTGGATATTCTGAAGAAGATGACAGCTGGCAGTCTTCTGATATCAATAAATACAACCTTCCTGAGGCTTTTTAGAGCGTTTCAGACTTGAGCAAGCATTTAGAGAGGATTCGAGAGAGACAGATTTTTGTGGGTGATAATCTTTTATTAGAGCAACTACCTGTTTGGGATCAACTTGGACAAGTTTTCATATGTACTGCATTCTTCTTCAGGTCTATCCCAACCACGCAGTTGGTCCAGTAAAAGATATCGCTCACAAAAATCCTTGCTTCTCACCTATTTTATGGATTATCATGGCTACATCATTCCAGCACTACCACAATTTAGTTAAAAAGTAATTACCCAATAGGTTCCTAAAATATTTTCTTTGTAACCTATTTCCACTCCTCAGCAGATGCCCAGGATTTATGGTAGAACAGGGTACCAGGTTGGTTTTTAAAATGCTGGACAGAAAAACTGTAGTGTCCTTGCAACTTTATCATGGAGTTGATGATATCCTTATTTCTGTGTTGAAGTGCTGGGACTCTTGGACTTGTTCATCTCTGAGGTGTTTCCTCCTAGAAGAGGAGAATGGCCTACCTGGGTTCATAGCAAATACACTTGGCTTTTTACAGGATGAGCTTTCAGTGGGCAGTGTAATTCCTAATCTAATTCCTTTGAAGGAGAAAATGCACATACAGCTCTGAGAAATTAGATTCTGTCTCGGGATTGCTTGAGTTCCTCGGGAAAGCACCGCTGTATTGTGGTACTTGGGCACCGTATCTTTAGTGCTGTTTCTTCCACTGGTTGCTCTACCCATTAAGAATTACGAGAAGTAATTTCATTTAAGTTAAAAATCTTCTGATTTTAAAATGAGATTGAGCAAATATATTGCTTGTTAAAAATAATAATTTTGCACTGAAAGCTTATCACCTAGAGTGGTATTTAATCATCTAATTAGTGGCATCAGTAATAGACTGTGCGGCTGTCTGTGTCATTGAGAACAGAAAAAAGGCAGAGGACTTAATTTGTCCAGCTCTTTATATTGAACCTTGTGTACCTTGTTAAACAGGATTATGGAAATACCATTTTAGGAGAAGCTGCCTTAGATATGACAGTCTCAGTTGCATCCTGATTATATGATTGTATCTGGCCGCCTGATAAGGCAAAGAATCTGTTCTATTCTAAGCAAATAAGGAGTACAATAGACCCAGCCAGTTTAGCAGGACTCAGTGATGGTATCTTCCTCTCTTTGTAGATCCAGGCATATCTGGGAAGTCACAATTTGATTTCTGTTTATCACTTCTATTTAAAAGTCAACCACAAAACAAATGTTTCCCCATCAGAGTGGTTTCTGCTACTTAAGTAATAAAAGCATCCACTCCTCCTTGACACAGTGCTCAGAAGCAAATTGTTTTGCTGTTCTTATCCCTTTTTATACTTCTCATGTGAGTTAGCTTACACATGACCGTGTCTGATCGTAAGAGTTGGAGGAAGTGGGAAGTTAAGAAGAGATTGGATAATTTTTCCTTTTTTTTATGGTCCCCCTTCACGCCTGCATGGCTTGGGTCTTTCTCCTTATTTCACCATTTGTCGTCATCCATCATCTCTTAGCCTCATTGGGGTGCTCTGATCTTCCCATCATTGTTTCCAATCTTTCCTACCTCTGTTTTGGTCTCTACGCCTACTTTGTGCTTCCTGGATCTTTCCTGCCTTGCTTCGGTTAATATTCAGCTTTAGCATAGTTTTCAGTACATGCCACTTTCATGAATCAGCCCAAACATCCGTCTTCTGTTTGGGTTGCATATGTGAGGCTTGGGAAACAAGTACCTAGGTTTCAATCTTATGCTAGTACTTAGAATTCTCTTATTTATGAAACTATGCCAGGGGAATAGGTTTAAGCATGTGAGCCCTGGCTCCTAATGCTAATACAGTCGTTATTTCTGTGCTGAGTGCTTTGCAAGTTGGGGTAACTGTTTCCAAGACAGGAGTGCAATTAGTTTTTGACATGCATATGTTAAATTAAGTGTCAATGCTAGACCTGGGCACCCTAGAGTTTCTCTGAAATTGATGGTGTGAAGGTGCTTTCTGGAGTGCTGTTCTTCTCACTTTATGCTGGTAGATGAGAAATGTAATGTTTGAAGGGACATATCTGCTCATTTTCCAGCTGCCTGAGTTCTGCTTGGCTGGGCTCTGCTGTGTGTTGTATAAGATCAGAATTTCCTGAAACTTTCACTTTTGCTGTAGCGCTGATGCCTTTCCACAGGTGACAGCAAGGGTGGGAGATTTCCCTGAAGTCCTGAGGGAAAGGCACAGCCTGACTTGATCTCGTCTCTTCCCCTCTTTTTCTGATTTGATGCCAAATTGGCTTTGAATGCCATGTTTACCCACGTAACTTTGCCTTTGACTCTGCTGTCCTTAAGCTTGTATGCATTTCTCTCTCTTTCTCCTTTTCAGAGAGCTTTGCACAGAGCTCAGGGTACCTGTTTACAGAGCAGGCTGTAAAAGGCAACACCACTGCTGCTGGATTTGGGTCTTTTAGGTTCTTTTTGGTCTCATGGCGCTCAGGTGAAGTACCTGAAGGCTGGAAGAAGGCCAGTGTGGTACCCGTCTTCAAGAAAGGGTGGAAAGTAGATCCTGGGAATTACAGGCCAGTCAGCTTGACCTCAGTCCCCAGTAAGATTCTGGAGAAAATTATCAAGGAGACCATTCTGGATACGCTAGCTGAGGGCAGCATCCTAAGGGACAGCCAGCACGGGTTTGTTGCGGGTAGGTCTTGCCTGACTAGTCTCATCTCCTTCCATGACCAGGTGACGTATCACCTGGACAAGGGAGAAGAGATTGACGTCCTATATCTAGACTTTATAAAAGCCTTTGATCTGGTGTCCCATGACCTCTTCATGGATAAATTGGCCAACTGTGGCCTCGACTGCACCACAGTCCAATGGCTGGAGAAATTGGCTCCGAGGTCAGACCCAGAGAGTAGTAGTCAATGGTAGCAAATCATTATGGCACTTCGTGACCAGTGGTGTCCCCCAAGGCTGTGTCCTTGGACTGATTCTCTTCAACATCTTTATCAACAATGTGGACATTGGTGTCAGAAGCGCGCTGGCTAAGTTTGCCGAGGACATTAAACTTTGGGGCATAGTGTCCCCCCCTGAGGACAGGCTAGTGATCTAGGCTGACTTGGATAAACTTAGTAAGTGGGTGGATACAAGCCTGATGACGTTCAATACCGATAAATGCAAGGTACTCCACCTTGTAGGGGGGGACACACAGCATGCTTAGAGGCTTGGCAGTGCTATGCTGGCTAGCACCATGGCTGAAAGAGACTTGTGGGTCATGACTGACCACAAGATGAACCTGAGCCACCAGTGCCCTGTCACAGCTGGTAAAGCAAACAAAATGCTGGCTTGCATCCATAGATGCTTCTCAAGTAAATCCCAGGATGTCATCCTCCCACTGTACTCAGCCTTGGTGAGGCTGCAGCTGGAGTACTGCATCCGATTCTGGGCTCCACAATTCAAGAAGGATGTGGAGAAGCTTGAGAGAGTCCAGAGGAGAGCCATGTGCATGATCAGAGGGCAAGAGAATAGGCCTTATGAAGAGAGGCTG